CCCGTGAGAAATAAGCAACTTCTTTATCCGAAACATGGAAAGACTTGGCCTATTTACCCTGACGCAAAAGAAACTATGTGCTAGTTACTCAGAACCCGCGGCTCAGTGGTTAGAAACGCGGGCTTCTAACTAATAGGTCGCGCGTTCGAGTCTCAAGTGTTGCACTTTTCGGGGTTGGGTATGACTGACTGACAGTGGTTAATAACCCGAAATGTCCATTGCAGTCTCCCTCGTCTTTGTTGGTAATACCATTCTGCCTACATGTTTAACATAATTGATGACGTAGACGATAATCTTTTTTTCAGAAGCAAGCAACACTTGATATTCTTAAACAAAACCATAAGCCTTTACGATCTGACGTGTACCGGCGAGCTGAACTATTGAGATTTAACAATCGGGCTACAGGCGCATGAATGAGTTGGAGGAGAACCAAGGAAACTCGGGATTGGAAAATTCCAAAATGCCCTGAAGGCACCCACAAATCAAAGCGGACCGAATAATTGACAAACGGATGTGAAGACTTGTGTTTACACACAGTTTGGTTCTAGTTTAATCACACAATGCACCGCAGACCGTTCGTCTCAAATACAATTTTCCGTATTTCTTCTATGAAATACAGTGCCTAGTTTTGTTGCAGCACTGAAAAATATTCTCACAGATGTATGGCTGCCCAGTCGGTAACCTGCGAAATGTGTTTCAAGACAGCCGATAGGGAATTGCGACAATTTTAACTTCTTCGATTACCCTTCTTTTCGTGTGTATTAAACAATTTCCTGTAAATTACAATACTTGGCCTTCGTGCTAACTGCAAAAGTATAAGCATCCATTGGCAGTCAAATTTTGACAGAAAATAAGACAAATTCAATTGCGACTTTTACACATAAACGCAAAGATTATTTTCACGACAGGGGTTGTTTAAATGGTCCACTCCAGACTTTTATACGTAATAGACGCCGACGACATTTTAACTTGCAAAGGTCACATGATCGAGGTCAGACGTCTTCATTTAATTAGGACAATAGGACAGGTTAACCACTCTTCATGCGGTGCTACCGAGCTCATTTAAGCAAAAAATAATTATTCTGAGTTTTTAGCAGATGTCTGTGGCTGAGGTTCATTTAAGTTTTACTTTTTTAACAAAAGTTTGATTTAAATCAATTTCGCGAGACTAAATTACCTTAGTTTTATTGTTACGTGCTTTCCAAATGCAGTTAAAATCAAATCCTATGAAAGTTGATGCGAGCTGAACACGACGGTTGTAGCGAAAACAGTATCCAAAACAGCGAAATACATTAGAGTGCTAGTTGGCAACTCAGGCAAACGTCTCTCAGAATAACGTTTGTACACCTGTTCCGCTACATTACTTTGGCCTTTAATGGTACTGCGAAGGGTTTCTAAAAATGACTCAAAAGGAAAAGCGAAAAAATTGTCCAACACTCCGAAACGGCTGACGTCCTCGTGGAGGTGGACTAAACAATGAACATTATAACCTCCATCGGCAGCACTGTACAAAATAGGAAAATCGGAAAAAACTTATCTAACAACAAACGGCCAAAATCGATGGAAGATTTGTGGAGAACTGGATGGGAGAACATAAAAATGGCAACAAATAAAAGGAGGAAATTTTCGTAACGAGATGAGTCAAGGTGGGAAGCTAAAACAACAGAGCCTTTGTACAACATAAATTGGCGGTATTCCGCAGCCTTCCAGAATTCCAGACAGTCAAGAGGTCTGCACTTGCGTGAACATTGACTACACTGCTTCATGGAGGCATTTATTGTGACGGACTGTTTCCCTGTAGCCAGCCGCCACATACACACAGGAGCTGCGCATGACACCGAGACACACAAGGTGCATGTAGTCAATTAGAAAGGTGGCTGCTATATCAGTTGACAAGTCCTCGGAAGGTGAGGTGCATTTGTGGCGTTGCTCCCGACTTCTCATGCGGAATGACCTGTCATCCCGCAGACGCCCGCTGTGTACGGGGAACGTCATGCGGTTTGCCACGGGCGTTCCAATATGACAACACCTAGGAGGATTGAATTTGCGTTCATGATGGCAATTATGTGTCGCAGCCGTAATAACCATTATGCGCTTTGACTTGCCGGACGTAGGACCTAGCAGTCATGTCGCAGATGATGTTGGCGAGCTCCACTCTAACTACGTCATCCTTATCCGGGACCTGAAGGCCGCTGGTCAGAATATCCTTCAGTTCTGAGATGCATTGGCCCAGAAATACACCCAAAGGCTTAGGCTTGCCGGAACCGGAGAACACTCTAACATAAAATGGCAGTCCACGGACAGGATAGCTGACTCGACCGAGGATTGGCCATAGACACTGGCCAGACCCTTTAATCAGCTTCATTCCGTCAATGTAGAATTGAACCCATATTTTCGGCAACAAAGTCGACGGTTAAAGTTGCAGCTCACCTAACAGACCACGTTTATGATCCAGATGGACGTAGCTGCCGTTAGAGAGGGACTCTGTAACGCATGCTCGCGGTGTCTGCATGAGAGTTCGCGGGTCCTTGGGCAACTCTGCGTAGTATTGCTGCAAAAATGGAATCAGCAACTTTAAAATTGACTGCGGCATTTGGACACTTAGGCAGAATTCCCTCAAATGCGTCAGGAAGCATTTGCGACTGAATGGGTTTGAGCTTTCATCTGTAAGCTGTTCGTCGTCTACATCGTCTAATAACATATGTATACATTACTTACCAATGCTAACTTCAGGACTAAGGTGCGGCATCGGGCGTTTGGTGATGGCTCCGTTACGAGAGATGACGTAGACGGGAGCGAGGGGTCATCTGTGGCGGCATAGTACGCCATCTTCGCTCGCTTATTCATCTTGTGCATGGTGCTGCGATGAATTTTCCAGTATTCCCTTTCCATATTTGATTAGAATTAACATATAAATACCATTAACACATATTGCACCGCCATAAACTACACTCGAGCAGTCAGATTATGTGCCATTCTTACACATACCTTTAAGTACGATCCTGGAGACTATAATAAAACATTTACTTATTTAAATGACACATTGCATTGCACAGAAGCATAGAATAAGTAAATGAATAACGTTCTGCAGTCGAATCAAGCCGGATATGGAGTATGAGTTGGACAGTTGTATCGATCCGGCGTGCACACAGTCAGCGTAAAAGTCCCGTCCACGTGGACGCGCACATGACCGAATTAAACAAGGCCAATATTTGCCTTAGAGAAAAATTAATTTCCTTCGATTTTATTCGCCTGAAAACGCATTATACCAGCACAAAATCTTATATTTAACGATAAGAGAACAAAATCTGTCCAATATAATGCAGAATGACGTCATGAGAACGGATGGAAATTAACGAAAATTTGGACGGGGCCTAGCCCCATCTAGCCCCGTCTGGCCCCTGGGGTCATGTGTTGGCAGGGAATAGAGGCTTTACACATTTCCGGAATTTGCTTTTTGCTTTCGAAGAATAAAATGAAGAAAAACAACGAAAAATGGTAAGAATTACAAACCTTACAGACCGACTAAAATGGCGTTGTCCCTTGAGTTCTACGTTGATGCCACTCGATGGTGATTG